GTGACATTTTCAGTCCTACAAAAAATTGTCATAAACACTTTTATACATGAAACCAATAATATAAATGTTCTCCACATTAAGCATTTTTGCATTCATAGGTAAATTATTAAATTTTGAAGAAAACATAAATAAGATTTTTAAAATTGTTTATAAAAATAATATTATATATAATAATAATAATAATAATATATTTGTCTTATTTATCAGTTCGATTTTGACCGATCAATTCTTTGATTTTTTTGGAACAAAATCATAATCAAACCAAATTATTGGTTGATAGAAAATGATTAAACGACCCTAGCCTAGCCTATTACCGAATTGTCAACTATACGATTATACTCCATAAGAGTTTTATTACCCATGAACTACTTTAAAATGGAATAAAAAATCAAACTATTGCTAAATAGCCTAATTAAATTTATCATAGTGATTATTTACAAATTCTCTCTTATATCGATAATGGCTATACATAGTTATAATTAAGCATATGAAAATTCTTTTAGACGTCCGGTAAAAATCGTTAAGAAATACTGCTATAGCTAAAAGTGTAGCCCAACACTAAAGATCCAAGAGTGATAGTGATTTTCTCAAGCCCATAACCCAATTTTAACAAAAAATAAAACCTTTTTGTACGTCACTTTATGTTACGTATCAGTATAATCAATTTTTAGATGAGTTATATCGAGTCAACAAATGAATGGTCCATTAACTCATTCAAACTCGAGCGAATTGAGTGGGTTATTGTCACGACCCAAAACGGGTCGCGAGTGGCACCCACACTTATCCTACTATGTGAGCGAACCTACCAATCTGAATCCCAACATTTCAAACATAATAAATAGAAAGCAATGCGGAAGACTTAAAAACTCATTACGAAATCAATTGATAACTTCTAAAATTCAATACTTATCATCCCCAAAATCTGGAAGTCATTATCACAATAACATCTATCCTCAAATTACTAAATCTAAGAATGTCTAGGAAACTAAAACAAATACAAGAGATAGTCCATGTCCGAACTTCAAGGACATCAAGACATGAATGAGAGAGAATCCAGTCCGAGCTAGGAACAATAGCTCACGCTGAAATCTGATGCGGTGAAGACTGGCTAGAGTTGCTGTTGAGTTGAAGACGACGGCACGTTTGCTGCACTCCACAAATAACAAGAAAAAAACATACAAGTAGGGGTCAGTACAAAACACAGGTACTGAGTAGATATCATCGGCCAACTCAAAATAGAAAACAGTATATATCAGATAATATCATAAAATCAACTACAATACTCAACATGCGGCATTTACAATTACCATAACCCCTTGGTCACAACACCAAGCACATCAATGAGGATTTACGCCTCTCCATCATACTCATTTGGGAATTAGGTTCATTAAATTTGAGTATATTAAGATAATTCAAGATTCATTCTCTTTATTCCTCTTGTGTCGGAACGTGACACTCCGATCCCC